AAAAAAAAAAAAAAAAAAAAAGTAGGAGCAACCAGCCAGCTTCATTATACTTGTAAGTTTAACAAAAATGTTGAAAGGTATGAAATACACAATCATTCAGAGCCTTGTCTCTCACAAGTATTTGGTTAAGAGTATCCAATGGTGGTGATATTTTGCATATCTCTATTGCCACATCATGCCATAGATTAATAGTACACTCTTTACTACTGGTAGTAGAGTCATTAATGCCTTTAAATCTAGCCACTCTTGAGAACTAATTCAGAAAACTCATTCTTGAGATTCTTGTTTGTGATGGTTAAGATTGGCTGGGCCATGATTCTTAGTGAAAACAGTCGTGTGATGTTGTGATCACTTCCTGTAGAGATTTAATACGTGATCACTCCCATGATGGTATCTGCTGTGAGTAGCCAATCAGTTGAAGGGGAGTTTCCTTGGGCGTGTGGCTTGCATCGAGTGTGGGTGGACGTTCTGGCAGGGCTCAGGGGCTTTTCCTCGTTCTGGATCCTGCAGCTGGCTTCTGTTCGTCTGACCTCCGGTTCTTGGGACTTGAGCTAGCAGCTTACCTGAGGTGTTGCCTGCAAATCTTGGGATTCGTTGATACTCACAGCCTATGAGCAACAGCCCTGCTCTCCGACTTGCCAATCTTGGGTTCGTCAACCTGTGTAGCTACGTGAATCAGAAGAAGCCTGTTTCCTGACCCATGGACTTGGGACGTTACAGCTTCTACAACCATGTGAGCCATTTCCTTCATATAAATCTCTCTCTACATATGCTTTATTTATACGCTTTACTAGTTTTGCTTCTCAAGAGAACCCAGCCTAAGACATTGTTTCTCTAGAACCACTCTCAGTATCCAGATGTCATAGTCTGGGTTCTCTCGAGGAGCAAAACCAGTGAAACATGTACGTAAATATATATAGAGAGATTTACTTCAAGGAAATGGCTCATGCAGTTGTTGGGGCTGGCAAATACCAAATCCACGGGTCAGATGGCAGGCTGGAGACCTCTGCTGGCTCTTGGGGTTGCAGGTTCTGGCAGATCCCAAATCTGCAGGTCAGGCAGCAGGCTGGAAATCTCTGCTGGCTCACGTCCCGGGAACTGGAGGTCAGGTGATGAGAAGAATGCTGGGTTGAGAGGGAGCTGAGCTTTGCCAGAATATCCATTTATGTACTGGAGGCAGGCCACACCCCCAGGGAAACTCCCTTTCAACTGATTGGTTAATCACATCAGGTCATATCATGGAAGGTAATTGAATTATATTACATTATGGAAGTGCACCCATTCTAGTATCTGCCAAACCACTGAGGATCATAGCCTAGCCAAAATGACATGTAACATTAACCATCACACCCCTACTTGTAAAATAGAGATGATAGTAGTACCTACTTCATAATATTTTGTGAGGGTTAAGTGAGCTAATATATGTAAAATGATGAGCACAGTGCCTAAAAAGTAAGCATTTTGTATGTATGAGCAGGTATGTTCAAAATTATTTTCTCTCAAAACTCTGAGGGCATTGCAACACTGTTTCCTAGTATCTGCTTATGCTTACTAGGAACTCTGAAGCCAATCTTATTCTTGTTCCTTTAGGTAATCTGCCTTTGTTTTTCTCTTGGGAAGCATTGAGGATATTTTCCTTATTCTCACTATTCTGAAATGTCAGGTGACTAAGTCTATATTTGAGTAATTATCTTGCTGGTACTTAGTAGGTTCTTTCAGTTTGAAGAGCCACATCTTTCTTCAGTTCTGTATATGGCCTTAAATTATTTCTTAGGTTATTTTTCTTCCTCATTGGCTCTGTTTTCTTTATGAAATGCTGGTTAGATGGGTGTTGGCCCCTTGAAAAGTTCTCCTATGAATCTTAACTTATATCTACGTTATTTTTCTAGTTCTTGGGGGAAACTTCCTGAGGCACCCAAGCCGACAGCAGTAGGATTCAGTCAGTGTTTGTGAATGAGTGAATGGAGAGGTGCTCTGAGATACGATTTCTGTTATTTTTTCACTGTAGCAGCTGCTTCCTGAATTCACGTTCTCCCAGCAATTAGCACACATATCTATTGCCTTTTATATATCTTTTCAAACAGATGAAAAAATTCCCTTTAAGCTGCTGAGTTCCTTTCTCCCCCCAGGGGGCCCTGAAAATCATGGAGGAATTTTAATTAGAGATGTTGAAAAAAAAAGACGAGACTCAGTTGGATCAGCAGATGCACCCAGAAGAACCCCTTTCCATCCACCCAAGGGATACGACTCAGTTGTCCATGAGGCAGCTGATCCTTCGGCGAGGGGTCCCGTTCCTGACAGTCGTTTTAGTCTTGCTCGTGGGGATTTTAATGAGATTATATGTCAGAATTCAGTGATGTGGCGGGAGAGTGATACAATCAGGTCACATGATACTTCTGAGCTTACAAATAATTCATAGGGCCAGTAGTGGTAATTCATATTCAGTTAATATAATTCGGTTGTGCCCATGGATTTCAAGAACTGAGAATTCAGAGATATATTTTCCTAATGAAGAAAAGGATATGAGGTAAAAAATACGTTATGGTCAAGATGATGTCTAAAAGACTACATTTGAGTAATAATTCACCCACCAGTATCTCAACGTAAGACCACCGTTATTAATTTTTTTATGCAGATGAAATTCACATAACCTAAAATTAACCATTTTAATGCTTACTATATTTTTTAGACAAAAACTCATATATTGAGTGCTTAGGATTTTTAAAGCCTGAATTATTTAAAATATATTTTACAATGTATCTTTCCTGTGTCTTAGATTATTATTCAACAGGTAAATGGCATTTATCAATGTTTATTAGGGTCTAGATCTTCGGCACTGTGGGCCTTGGGAATGCATAAGAAACTGAAGAGGGGAAGACAGATCATTAAGGAGGAAGGAGTTAGATGGCATTGATTCACATGCTTCCTATTAATGGCTTGCCTTAAAACCTGTTTGGATAAACTTGAATTGGCAGAGGCAAGGAGAAGGGGGCCATATGCCAAGGCCTATAAAAACCGGCACTTCATTTTTCTAGAGTGGTGAGCATTCCACAGCAAGAGATCAGGGGTTTGAAGAGCTAACCCAGCCAAACTAGAGGAAGAAGTCAGACCGTTTCTTATTTTGATAGAAAGTGGTTGTTGTTAGGTGCTTTCTAGTTGACTCCGACTCATAGCAACCTTATATATAATAGAAGGAGGAGTTGCCTGGGTGTGTGCCATCCTCACAATCATTGCTATGTCGATAGAAGAACAAGGTTAGAAAGTTGGAAGGCAGCAGAAATGAGAAGAGAATGCCAGGGTAGGAGAAAAAGGGAGGCTGGATTCCTGAGCAAGGCCTATTTATTTTGTGTTTGGCTCTGTCCTTGTCTAAAAAAAGGCAAAAGCTTTTAGTGGCAGACATGGCATATTCAAAAGTCTTTAAGTCCCAGTCTCAGGAAGCTCAGGGTATATTGAATAAATGTTCCCTTCACCTCAGCCTTAGAAAATTGTTCTGAGGACTTTGAGCTGGGATGATCTGGGACTCTGTAAGGAAGAGGATGGTGGTGTCAGTCGATGACAGACTTTTAATAATGGTCCCTGGATGGTACATTTTGCTCTCAGCTACCAACCTAAAGGTTGGCGGTTCACACCCACCCACTGGTGATGCAGAAGAAAGGCCTGGTGATCTGCTTCTGTAAAGATTACAGCAAAGAAAACCCCATAGAGCAGTTCTACTCTGTAACACATGGGGTCGCCATGAGTCGGAATGGACTGGCTAGCAATGGGTAGATGAAGTAGTAACCATTGTTTACTTCAGCCTTCCTGGTGCTGGGTGCATGCCCTGTGGCACAAGTGTTAATTCAACAAGCCTAAATACATATGAAAGGAGCCCTGGTGGTGCAATGGTTAAAGCACTGGGCTGCTAAGTGAAAGGTTGGAGGTTAGAATTCACCAGCATTCTAGGGGAGAAAAGACTCGGCATCTGCTCCTGATAAGATTTACAGCCTAGGACACCTTGTGGGGTAGTTCTGCTCTGTCCTGCAGAGTTGCTATGAGTCAAAATCGACTGGACACACAGCAAGTACATATGAAGTACACTGGGTGCTGAGATGGATACAAAGAACTAGGCATGGCCTTTGCCCTGAAAGAAGAGATAATGAACAAAGTTAGGGGGTCATGAGGAACCCCTTGGCTCTCCATGCAACATATATATACAAGGGTTTAACTGTGTTTGGAAACTGTGCGACATTTGTGCATGTGTAATTTGGAAGATCCCGCCTTCCAATGTTTTGTAAATGTGTACAGCTGTAAATTGAGAAGTTTTTTACCTTTAAGAATTTAGCCACTGTGAGTAAAAGACAAATTTGGCCCTGGGTCATCTTCAGTTTTCTCTACCCTCATTCCTTCTTTCCACAAATTGAGGCTCCTTTTCCTTATCTCAGGGACAGAGATAAGGCTTGTAAGAAAGGTGGGCCTCAAGGTTGGGCCTGCAGGCCGCCACTCCAACTCACCTCCCCTTCCTCCATTCCCTCCCTGGCTGTTTGTTAGGAAGCCTCACAGGACACTCATTCCCCACTAGAGGCTTCTCACCAAAAAACCCAAAACCACTGCATCACCAAGGCTCCAGCAGGGACTTCTCACACTCCTTGCCATTTGCCCCACCAGGCAGGAGCCTTGGGATAGGAGATGCATCTAACACACAGCAAATGTGTTCAGCCTAGTAGCTGAGTAGCTGCTTGCGAGGACGCCCCTGACCCCCGGGGAGAGCAGGAGACCTCGGTCCTGCCAGCAGTAGCTCACCCGTTGGAGTAAACAGATTAACCAAGCATTAACCAAGGCAAAAGGAAACCTCACAGGTAGGGTCAGCCAAGGGCTCATTCCATCTACTCACCCCTCAAAAACAGTTTACTTTTCCCAGCTAGAAGCATTCCTTATAAAAACCTTTCTCATCACTGCGCACCAAGACGGACCTCCGCTAGCACCCCTCACTTGAGTTCCTCCTCCTCGAGGACCCTGCACCTATTTCCCCTGTCGCCGACCCCCCGTTGGGCTCCGGCCGGCGGCAAGGGCTTGACTATGGACCCGGAGCGGGAGGCATTGCCCCCCACGGGGTGGCCCTGGGTGCTGAGGAAGGCCGCCTCCGCCCCTCCCGCGCCTCGTCTTGCGGGCACCCGACACGGAGCCCCTTCCTGCGCCTGCACGGAGACCCCAGCCACAACCGGGACCCCCGCGGCCTTCCGGGAGAGCCTCCCCGCCGGCGAGGGGGCTGCCTGTCGAGACTGCGCGGCGCGCTGCCGCCCGACCTTCGGCGGGAGTCGGCCGCGCTGGCGGCGCTCGTGGGCCAGGTGGTGAGTGCCCCGCGCGGGCCTGCGCACCGCCTCCGCCCCGGGTCCCGGCACGCGCACATTTGCTAGGACAGCGCGCGGTGCCAGGCCGAGGGCCAAGGACACTGTCCACCCTAGAGGCCCCCTTCACAGTGGAAACTACTGGGAGGCTTATGATAAGCAATCACATGACCTTGGTTGAGGATTGTTATGAAATGGTTTCTGGTGCTTTTTCAGTTTGCTTCTCAAAGCATTCCTCCAGGGGTAAGGAGGATTCTTGTTAACTCTTTAGTCCGTTTACTTTCCTTTATTTTCCCTCCACAGTTCCTTGCACAGTTGATGATCTTCTTGGTGTCGTCAGCTCCGTATTCTGTGGGCATCTAGGGAAAGTCCAGCTGGATGCTGTTACACTTGCCGTATTGGTAGGTTTTAAAATTCTTTCTTTTTATGTGAGCTGACAACACGCTAAAACCACAGTAATTTGAATTGTATTGTCCCACCATTTGTGATTTTACAGGATCTGGGCTTGGCCTGCTACAGCTTACCATGACCTCATCTTTGGAAAACCATACATTTGAAAGGAGATTGTGTCAGCTACTTAGAAAAGTGTTTTGGGTACTCTAAATATATCCCTATACTGTATGAATTTCACACTTTTTTTAAGGTTGCACTATTTCACCCTGTGAAAAGTGTCTCCCCTCGGCCACAGAGTGAAACGACACCCCCTCCAGAGTCTTCTGTTTGGAGTTTTTGTCCTTGATGCAGTGGAAAGTTGCCTCTGTTTTGCATTTCATCTAGGCTTTCAAAGGAGGTGAGATGTAGTCCTCCTGCTGGTGATATGCAGGTTGTTTTTTCCAATCTCAGAAAATGTCTTGTCTGTCCTTCTAGGAGATAGGTATATACCTGAGATAAAGGCAGAGCCATCACTGTTTTCCATTTAGCTTTATGGTAGAGAGGGCCTTGCTGTGTGGAGTCAGACATTTTATTCACAAGTCGGTGAACTAATTTGGGTTGGGGGATATTTCTACTTCCTTGAAAAGTTTAGACTGGGCCTCTAAAAAGAGTCAAGAAGGAAAAGGAGCTTTATGTACAGGCTATTACACTGCCCCCTCTAAGAAAGATGCACTTGACCCTTACATCCCACAGGCAACATGGCCATGGCTCATGTTGTAGTCCTAGTTACCCTGTTGGGTGATGTAAAGTGTGAACACAGATTAATAAAAAAACAAACCCGTTTCTGTGAAGTCCATTTTGACTGATAGCAACCCTGAAGGACAGAGTAGAATTGTCGCATAGGATTTCCAAGGAGCGGCTGACCTCTTAATGCCTGCACCACCAGGGCTCCGTGAACATAGATTAATGATGGGTAATTATCTAAAAGGAGTCCCTGGGCAGTGCAAACCATTAAGCTCTTGCTTGACTGCTAACCAGAAGTTTGGAGGTTAGAATTTACCCAAAGGAGCCTTAGAAGAAGGGACTGGAGATCTATTTCTGAGATTTCAGCCATTGAAAACCCTATGGAGGGCAATTCTATTATGACACACATGGGGTCACCATAAGTCGGAATTGACTTGATGGCAATTTTCTTTTTAATTGTCTGAAACTTGAAGGAATATTTTCTCAAGTATCTCTGCACAGCCCAGAATTAGGGTCCACACTTTCCTTGTACTGCTTCCAGCCCATTACCCTACCGTGCTCATTCTTCAACAGTCTGTTCTGGAGCACCACCCTGTTGATGATATCTGATCGTTAGTAAGTGACCTCTTCTTTGTTCACTGATGAGCTCAACACCTGGGCACTCTTCCTCTAACCCGTGTGCTCTGCCATCCTTCAGTGTGTGGAGCACATCTCCAGCACTCTCCTTCCATCTCATTGACTTCCATGACCCCTGAGTCCATGTTAGGCCCCACACCCATGTCACACCCTGCACATTTTTGTCCCTCAGAACAGATGCCCCAGTAAACCAAAATTAAACCCATTGCCGTCTAGTCGGTTCCGACTCATAGTGACCCTATAGGACAGAGTAGAATTGCCCCATAGAATTTCCAAGGAGTGCCTGGTGGATTTGTACTGCCGACCTTTTGGTTACCAGCTGTAGCTCTTAACCTCTATGCCACCAGGGTTTCCCAGACCCACAGTAGAAGCTTTGTTTCTTTTTTTTTAAATTTTTTTTATTGTACTTGAGGTGAAGGTTTACAGAACAAATATATTCTCATTAAACAGTCAGTACACATATTGTTTTATGACATTGGTTAACAACCCCACAGCATGTCAGCACGCTCCCTTCTTGGCCTTGGAGGACTTTTTTTTTTTGGTGAAAATATACATAGCCAAAGATACACCATTTCAAAAATTTCTTCATGTACAATACAGTGACGTCGATTACATTCTTCCAGTTGTGCTGCTATTCTCACTTTAGATGAAGGTTTACAGAACAAAATAGTTTCTCATTAAACAATACACATATTGCCCTATGACAATGGCTAAGAACCCTACTACATGTCAACAGCGTCCTTACTCAACCTTGGGTTCCCTATCACCAGCTTTCCTATCTCCTTCTGCCGTCTAGTCCTTGTCCCTGGACTGCTGTGCCTCATTAGTCCCGTTTTGTTTTATGGGGCTGTCCAATCCCCGGCTGAATGGTGAACCTCGGGAGTGACGTCATCACTGAGCTGAAAGGGTGTCTGGGGGCCATACTCTTGGGGTTTCTCCAGTCTCTTTCAGGCCAGTAAATCTGGTCTTTTGTGTGTGTGTGTGTGTGTGTTAGAATTTTGTTCTACATCCTTCTCCAGCTCTGTCCAGAAGCCTCTGTTGTGATCCTGGTCAGAGAAGTTAGTGGTGGTAGCCAGGCACCATCTAGTGGCACTGGACTCTGTCTGGTGGAGGCCTTGGTAGCTGTGGTCCATTAGTCCTTTGGACTAATCTTTTCCTTGTATCCTATTTTCTTCATTCTCCCTTGCTCCCGAAGGAGTGAGACCAATGGA